ATTATTTTCCATTATAATCATTTTAGTATACCATATTTGTGAATGCATTGGATAGTTGAACATAGTCTAGTTGTGAAATTACAACAAAATTTAGCAACCAATGTTATAATCGCAAACAAAATCAGGGCAATTAACTTCATTATAACTGCAATTACTAACATTTTTTTTTCCTTTCCGCAAACGCAACGATACACGTAGCGTTTCCATTACTTTCGCCAGTAGGACAAACTCGACCATTCCAACTACCATTGATCGTGCACATTTTCATCGTTTTCAAAGCTTTCATCTCTTTTTTTGTTTTGATAAAAAAAGCTTTCATCTATGTGATTTTATATATGAACAAAAACAAGTTTTTACTTAAATAACTGAATACGCAATAAATTTCAAATTTTCACCGGTAAATAATCAAAGTTAAAAGAAAATAATATTATAAACTGACTATTCTACTAAATACGAAAGAAAAGAACCATATTCGTAGATCTATTTATGCAAAGTATCTGTTGTAACTGGTTGGATTATTATCAATTATAAATGATCATCCTGATTACTGGAACTTTCTTTTCTTTTTTTGGTTGGAGTTTTGTTTAGATCAAACAAAAAAATCTCTTTCGTTGGGCCTGGACTTGCAGTCCAAACGATCTGGCGGTCCAAGAAACCATCGCAACCCAACTTGGGCTTAACCACAGTCTGACCACACTGGAGTCAGATTTGGCAACCACAGTCAAGCAAAACTTAGGATGTACCCTCCACTTTTTGCTATAAATAGAGGTACAATGTGATGTGACAAGACATCTAATTCCTTGGGAGAGAGTACAAGGGATAGAACTTTTCCGTTTAGTCTCTAACCTCACTTAAGGAAGATTCTGAGCGACCATCGCCGACCGAAAATACACCGCAAATAAACACTTTCTTTTTAACAGTTCATAGCGATCTAGTAGCCCGAGATCTGTCAGGTCTATTACGCACTCGTTTGCGAACAAGCGATCTGATAGCTCGGGATTTGTCCGGCCTATCACCTAAACGATCTACTTCTGTAACATTTGGTTCTGATCTCATCTTTCAATACACGAAATTTTCCGACCTCTCGTCTACTATAAATTCATTGTTCGACATATTGGTTTAACATCTTTCATTGTTATAACCAAGAATTTCACATGAAATATTGGAATTCATGAATGAAATTATGATTCATCTAATTGTCAAATACTAAGCATCGTCAATTCTAAGTTTGGATCCTACTTACCAAGGGTTGGCTTTATAAATCAGTGGTCCAAAAGAGAGGAACAAAACTACGCTTAATTTTTTTCGGGACGGTAAATTTGTTCTTATCTCTAGTTTGAAAATTTATATGTTTTCATAATTTCTTATTCATCAAAGTTTTTTTTTTTTGAAAAAACTTCTTAGTTTTTGGCTCTAAAAACAAAAAAGA